TGACTCAGATTTATTCTAGGCTTCTCTTCTGGCATTTAAGTGGGCACTTGTATTGGTCAGTAATCAGGGCAACAGAAACCACTTTAGATATTTCAAACAGAGGAATTTTATATAGGGACTGGAGCAAAATTGCACAAATCCTGTTATCAGCAATTAGTTAGATAAGGAAGCCACTACTGACCACAGCTGTAGGAGCAGAAGTAGGATCATAGTGTCACCCAAAAGTCCATAAGCCTACCTTGATGCTGACATTTCTGTAACTGACATCATTACTGATGAAAAGGAAGTCAGGAGCCCAGGAAACACTCATTGAATCTACTACTACCGGAAACACTGTGGCTCCTACCTCTTTCCCGCTTCTAATCCATGAGAGTGTCTCCTACTGGCAAGCCTACATGGCACCCAGCTGGCAAAGAACTCTGCAGGAGCCGGGTATGGTGGCACATGCCTGTAATCCAAGTGGCTCAAGAGGCTGAGGCAGGAGAATCACGAGTTCAAAGTCAGCCTCAGCAATTTAGAGAGGACCTAGCAATTCCAGGAGACCCTGTCTCTAAATAAAATACAAAAAACGGGCTGGGGATGTGGCTCAGTGGTTAAGCACCCCTGGGTTCAATTCCCAGTATCAAAAAAAGAAAAAGAAAAAGAAGGAAAGAAAGAAATCTGCAGCAATATCATTGTGATACTCTCCGCGCGCTGTCAGTACAGAGACATTAAAGCAAAACTAAGTACCAACAGAATGTTTGGCCTGGTCACCCTCCTCTGAGGATTTCAACTTTTCTTCTTGAGTCTCATCATGCTCAGTGAAAATAAAACTGCAGAGCAGTCCTGCTCAAGGGGTACAGGTGGAGTGTGCTGCAGGGGTGCGCTTTGGACGTGCGCTTCTTAGGAGACATAGCCTAAGGCTAGATGTTCAGATCATAAGGACACCTGACAGATGTTGCTTTTAGTATCTCCCTGAGCTTTGTACGTGCAAGTTAATTCTTGAAAACAAACCAAAGGGGGAAACATGAATCTCTGTTCCCTCCTTTTGAAAGGGGCAAATGTCATGGTGGGAGGAGAGGAGAAACTCAAAAATCTTTGGGTTAAGCAAGCTTTGGCAGAGCCTGCTAGGGACCATACTGTTCAGATTTCCAGATTGTGTGCAACAATGGAAAGAAAATGCTGGTTGTTCTCAAAAAGCAACAAGCATGTCTAAAGCTGGACCAGATGATCCTGGAACTTTCCCAGAGGGAGAAAGAAGAAACTAAGAAATGAACCCCAATTTCAGGAGATTTATTGTACAATTTGCCAGTATAAGGTTCAGGCATATTTGGGGAAAGAGCATTGTGCATGCAATTAGATGGCCAAAGCGGGCACAGGGAGCCACGGGAAAGCTTGGAGCTCCCAGGAAAAAGAAAAACAGGGAAAGCAAGCCGGCAGTGCTTTCTTTGATTTGAGTACCAGACATGTTGGAGCTTGTCCCCAGCGAATTTTACCCCAAAGGTATCATTTACTTCTCTGGCTTTAAAAGTATTAAATTAGCTTAATAAGTTTGTTTGTGTGTTGGCAGGGATAAGGGTTCCTTGAGCATAACTTAGAGCCTCAGCCTGTTTTAGCAGCTGACCCATGGGGGCTGAGTAGTTCCCAGGTTTCCACACAACCTTGAACCAGAATATCTTGGCCAGAACTGTGCTGAGTGCTGAGAAAGTTGCTCCAATTCTCTTCCAGAACAGTCTGGAAGAGGGAAGTCTGGGCTTTCTTTGACTCTGAGGTGGTCAGTCCTGTGGTCTGGCTAATTTGAAAGTGCCACAAGTTAAAATTAATTCTCTTATTCAGACTTATTCAGACTCTACTCTGGCAGTGGACTCAAATTCATGGTTATTACAGAAATAGATATAGATAATTCAATGTAGGAGAAAAAATATATTGTAAATTGCAGAATCTCCACAACCTCCACTGATATATTTTTAAAAATCCTTTAGAATGTAACCACTATTGTTTTGGGGGGTATTTTTTTTCTGTCTCTTTCTATTTTCAGTTAGTTTTGGTTACATTGAACAATGGATCGTTGGAATTACATCAAGTTCTCATTTAGAGACCAGATTTTCAGTAGACACATGATCTCTCTTTTAGACTAACACATCTTCCAAGGCCAAAACAGGAGAAAAAAATTGATAGATTTAAAATCATGGACAAAGAAAACCCAGCAAATGTCTTTCAACATGTAGAAGGCACCCATTTAATTGTTTTACTAAAGGACGGGGTAAAAGTCAACATGGCTTTTGGAATTGCTCACTTATTGTTTTATGTTTCTTATAGAGTAGAACATATAGATATTCATTAACACAAAGGAAATTCTGGGGAAAAAAAAAACTCTAACACTTAAGATATGCAAATTGATAGCACATTTTTCTCGCTTCCCAACTGTCTGACAGTTTGATTTACCCAATGACCCATAGGAACATTTTCAGGGCTGAACTGATAAAAACAGTTGATAAAAACATCAGTGGACTAAGAACAAATGTGTCAGTACATTGTTGCAGGGCCCTTCAATGATGCTAATTTTTTCATGGATTGACAAATACATATTCTTTCCGAATTTTCAGGAATCCAATTTCAGTTTTAAAACCATTTGATCAATTGAGGTATTGATCTAGTTTTTACTTCTATGGCTTGCCAGTGCAAACTGAATAGGTACACTTTGAGGGGCCCAGTCTAATTTTACGGTATGACCAATGAAATTTTAGCTGGGCATCTCAGGTAAAGATGGTGACTATTAATTGCAGACTTCATTGCTCCCCTTCGTTGTTTCTGGAATGTTCTCTGAAGTCTTAGAATGCCAAAGAAATGGAACACTTCCCAGAGCCATCTACAGGGACTGTGCTCTGGTTAGGGGAAACAAACAATTGAGAGAATCATCAAAGGGCAGGTTCTGCTGTGCCTTGTGCAGTCACTGACTTCCTAAGCCTCCACAAAATGAACTCTTCTTTCTTCCATCACCAACCACAAACTGATATTTGTATCAGTGATCTATTCCTCTACAATAGACCACCCAAAACTTAGTGATTTCAAACAACTATGTTATTGCTTAACATAGTTGAGCAATGGTTGGAAATTTGGGCAGGATTTCATTGGGATAGCTCATGTCTACTGTTCATGGTAATAGTTGAGATGACTAGGGATAGAAGATCCAAAATGGCTTCCCTCACATTTCTTGCATCCCAGCTGGGGGAAGCTATACAGGCTGGGGTCTGACTGAATTAGCCCCCCCCCACACACACACACACATACACACACCTTCTCTACATGGTCTTTCTAGTCCATCACTTTAGATGGCTTCCAAGCCAGTGAAAGCAGAAAGTGCCAGACTTATGAAGAGCTTAGGTCTGTAATTGGCATAGGGTTACTTTCTTTGCATTTTATTTTTAGTTGGTGAACAAGTGATTGTCCTTTTGAAACTCTTCCTTATTTCTGCCACCTACAAGGTTGGACATGTTAAGGATTTCCAAGTAAATAGTTAAGCTGCAGTAGTTGAAACACTGTAATATATTACTTCTCCTCTTTTATATTTTTTAGTTGTGCATTTTTCAGGCAAAGATGGTGACTTTTAATTGTGGATTTCATTGCTCCACTTCTTGGCTTTTTTCATTCTTTCTGGAGAGTTCTCTGAAAACTTATGGCACCAAAGAAACTGGAACACAAAGAAGGGAGATGGTTTGTCAGATGTCTCCAATGAATGAGACAGAGAGCAGAGGACAGGATTTTTACTAAGGCTTCAGGGTTTCCACACAATAACTGGCTCTTCAGGCATCCTGACTCAACAAGGAATAGTAATTATGTTTCTATAGTAACTTTGTTCATTTCATTCATGGAAATTTATCATAACTTATAAGAAGCTATGGTGACCCAGGGCTGGGGAATAACAGGCTTAGGTCTTTAGAGCATTGGCTGATGGGCAGGCCAGCTGGTCTTATCAGCTGAGAGGGATGGCAGCTGTTTGAGGATGAATTAGAATTGAGTCCTGCTGTTGCTCTTCAAGGTTTTATAAGGAGACGGTGGCAGGCAATCCCAAAAGAATATGTATGCAAAGGTTGGAAGAAAACACCAGGCCAACAGCCAACAAACTCACAGAAGTGTTTGGCTTATTAAAATAAATTTAAAATATGTAATGGTGCCTTAAGATCCCGGACCACAAAGAAATCCTCCAAGAGAAGAAATGCTTCCCAGGCTATAAATGGGAATGTTATTAGCACTGCTTAGTCTAATGGGTGGTTGTTGGAATTCAATTCAATGAAATAATGCAGGGGGAGTGCTTAGCATGCGGTGGGCATATAGGAAGGGTTCAGGAAATATTAGCTATTATTTGTAGTGACTTATTTATTCTTTTTCTGGTTTGGAAGAATGCTACTTCTGAAAAACTAGGCCAGTTTCCATTGGTCATTGTTAACGGGACATAAGCTGGCTGTGGGAGGCTCTGACACTACTTAGATGACATACTTTGGAGTGCGTTTGCTCACACTGTCACTACATAGAGTTGTTATAGGACAAAACCCCAGTGTATCGTCCAAACGTTTAGTTTACCTGGCACAGACTAAGAGTCTGTCTTCCTTCTGACAATTATCTCTCCAAGAAAATATGGTAACATGATATGATTCTATATGGAAATCTATATCCTCTCCTTGCTCCTCTTGTTTTGCTTTACATTTTTTCATAAATAGATTTCCTATACAGCAAGTGCTGGCTCTCTCTGACCAGCAGGTGGCAGACATTGTATACTTGTCTTTCTGATCACCCACAGCTGTGAAATATTCATATGTCTTCTATCACCTATCATGGTTAAAAAAAAAAAAAAAAAAAAAAAGGATTTTTAAGCTTAGAAAATAGACTCCTCAAATGCATTTAAATCATCTTTCATAGAAGATTTATATACTTTATAAGTGCTAAGAGGCATTTTTTTTTACATTTTAATATCCCTGAAATTGGAATGCATGGCACAATAAGTAGTGACTTAGATTCAATAAAATATGGTAGTTGTTCAATTTAGGATTAGTATATTAAAGCTGTAAATGCATGCTCCATTGAAGCATGACATAGAATGAAAATGAATCCAGATAGCTAAAGGTAAAATTGTTTAACAAACTATTCATAGTTTCTTACCCCCAAATAAAATGAGCAGTTATAAGACACAGAGGAAATATAGGAAGAATTTTACTTGATGCATGTAATTTTCAAAGACCTTTGCAATTCAGGATCAAAAGGACATTTAATTTTCTTTCAGATTGTAATAGTATTTAGATAATTATTGATTGATATGTAAAGCAATACAAAGCTGAATGTCCTGTGCTCTCTTTAAATACATTCTCTACCTGCTCAGAATCATCAAGTAGAACTTGCAAAAGTTCAAACTGCCTCTTGTGATTTCACTTCAGCTATCAGATGAAATATAACCCAGTGCAGAATTGGCATCTCCTTTATTTCTTGACTTCATTATCAAACCATCTGGAAAGTAAGGGGACAGAACTTCTATAGCCAGGTAGAGAGACTGGTTTGGGGAAATTTGGGAGGCCTTTAGAAGCTATAGCAAAGGTAAAACTGCTGTCCCAGAACACAAAACCACAGGTATGATGTAGTAGAAGTTGGAGGGAAGAGTGGGCCCAGACAGACCATTGCCTGTTTTAAGATACTGAATGCTGCTGGGCTCAGTGGCACACACCTGTAAATCCCAGCAGCTCAGGAGGCTGAGACGGGAGGATGACAAGTTCAAAGCCAGCCTCAGTAACTTAACAAGGCCCTGAGCAACTCAGCGAGACCCCGTTTCTATATAAAATACAAAAAAAAAAAAAAAGAGCTGGGGATGTGGCTCAGTGGTTAAGTGCCTCTAGGTTTGATCCCTGGTACAAAAAAAAAAAAAAGAAAGAAAGAAAAGTATAGAAAAGAAAAAGATACGAATGCTATGTTGGGACTAGACATATCAGCAAGAGAGGGAGCTTGCTCTAGTGATAAGTGCATCTTGCAATGTCATTCACACTGCCATTACTTATATGCATGGTCTTAAATAAATCACCCAAGCTCTCTGAGCCTCAGTTTGCACATCTAAAAAATGAAAGACTTGGGTGGCTCCTTTGCACCTCCATAGTATTCACTTTTACCCTGGCTGGGTTAGTGCCATTTTCCACCTTGTGTTATATTTCATGCATGGTGACATAATCCCCCTAGAACACTTTAAACTGACAAGTCAGGAGCACTAATTCTCTCACACCTCCTACCACAGTTGGAACGAAGCCTTGGGTAAGTTAGGCACTCATGAAAGATCTGTTGCCTTGAATTGAATCAGATTAGATGACAGGTAGGGTACCTTTGCTAGTATTTTCTATCATTGCCTTTAAAGGAGGAGGGGCTCACTAAAGCCAAATGACTTTTAGCTTTAGCTGGATAACTGCGATGTTGCCAAGTCAGCTGGCAGAGTTTAGAAGCGTGGAGAGGAGCTGGAGCTAATGCATTGCCTCATGGGACACTTAGCAAGGCCAGATGATTGCAGGTTTAGTTCTGTGCGTTTGATTACCCACACTATCTCCAAAACTCAGCAGGAGAGAAAGAGTAATGAAAAGAGGGAAGAGAAATACAGGGAGTGAAGAAACTCTTCAAAAATATGTGTAGAAGTCTTGGTACCTCAAGTGAGTGTCGAGCCCCAATTTGACAAGATATTTCTTGATGACGGTGAGAATATTTGGGTTATATTTTCAGATATAGAACCTCCTAGAATCAAGTGCCCAAGTGTGAAGGAACGCATTGCTGAACCCAACAAGCTAACGGTACGCGTGTCCTGGGAGACACCAGAAGGAAGAGATACAGCAGATGGCATTCTTACTGAGTAAGTGAAACTTGGAATCTGAAATGAGGTTGTCTTTCTTGCTCTTTTCTTGTTGAGGTACTAAAGATGGAACCCAGGGCCTCACACATGCTCTGTGAATGCTCTACCACTGAGCTATGTCCCCAGCCCAGGTTATCTCTTTTATGTGAGACATTTACAACTCAGAGTGGGAGACTGTGTCTATAATGGGCTACTTGTGCTTTCAGGTGTGGCCTGCCCCTGGGGCCACCATCTAACATACTATATGTTTTAGTACTATGTTTGTTTATTGTCTATCTCCAGTACAGTATGTTCACAGCCATATCCCAATGGCCAGAATTGTGTCTGGCACACACAGTAAGTACTCAGTAGCTATTTGTAAGAAGGGGTGGAGGAAAGAAAGGAAGAGGAAGAACAGAAGGAGAAAGAGGAAGCCAACTGGTTAATTCTAGGATAGAATCCGCTTCATTGCCTGCCCAGAAGGCTTCCATTCATGTGTGCAGGCCTTACCAGGCCTCCAACTACACTAGGAAGTCCCCTGAGTCTCCCAGGACCAGCTAGGTGCTATCCTCTTGTGTTCTGTGGGTATAGTTTAGCACAAAACTCTTCCACCCCTTGGTTTGGAGGCTGCATCCACTTCTTTCCAAACATTTGATTTTTAATTTATTTTTTTAAACTTTTGACCACATCCACACACTTACAGAAGCTTATAAAGAAAGCAAAAGTGTCCTCTGCCTTCTTGCCACCTTGACCCTATTCTGCTTGACCTGTTCATTCATTGCATTAGTAGTTTGATGTTCCTCTGAGATGCTTTTAAAAGTGGGTGGTTCTCTTTGGTGAAGTTCAGCACGTGTTGTTCTAATCTGTTATTTGGGTCTGTACCCAGGCAGCATGTTCCCTGGAGGCCACTACTTTACTTCAGCATGCTCACATCTGTGCCTTAATGTACTTGACTCGATTAGGCCACTCCAGAGAATTTTCATCTGTGGATAAAAGGTTGCCTCCAACGTATCCCCTGGTGAACCATGAAGCGGGAAACACTTTCTAGAATCCTATCAATCTAGGCTGTGCAAGATAGAACATTTTTACACAATTATTAGCAATAACAGAACATTTCCCAGTAAGAAGAGGTTGAGTCTCTCACCCCTAAAGGATATTTTATTTATATATCCAGATAATCTCCCTCCAGTGCCTCATCTAGTTTAAATAGTACTAGTTGTGTTTCCCATTGTAACTTCTCAAAGATAAAGTCTGACTCTTTGTTGGGCATGGTGTCATTGCTTGTAATCCCATCTATTTAGGAGGCTCAGGCAGGAGGATCTAGAGTTGGAGGCCAGCCTGGTGACTTCGAGAGAACTTGCCTCAAAATAAATTTATTTGCTGTCACATACACATGTACATAAAGCCCTTAGGAGAAACTTTAGGGGATTGGGATTGAAATGTAAGGAGAGAGAGAGAGAGAGAGAATAGAAAAAAAGTCACAGTTGACATAATTGGGGATTGGCTTTTATTTATCTTTGACTCTTCAGGATCTAGAACAATGCCTGGTCCAGCCCCTAGCATATAGTAGTTTCTTAGATTTCTGCAACTATAACTGCTATTGAAATCCTTTATAATAAACATACAATATTAAATCACCAGATGCACCCCCTGCTTTGTCTAAAAGCTTTGCCTTGGGATTTTTATGGGTAACCTGTGTATTATGGTTATAAATGTGACATTTATTTATTTATTTTTGGTACTGGGGGCACTTTACCACTGAGCTACATTCCCAGCCCTTTTTATTTTGAGACATGGTCTTGATAAGTTGCTGAGGCTGGCTTTGAACTCATGATCTTCCTGTCTCAGCCTCAAAAGCCTCTGGGCATGTGCCATCTACCTGGTGAAATGTGACTTTTGTGTGTGTGTGTGTGGGGGGGGCTGGGGATCAAACCCAGGGCCTTGTGCATGCAAGGCAAGCACTCTACCAACTAAGCTATAGCCCCAGCCAGAAATGTGACATTTTAAAAGAGCATCTTAGTAGCCCCTGCCCCTCTGTCCAGCACAGCTGTCTGCTTCCAGAGTTCTCCAGCCCCAGGCTCACACAGGCTTGGAGCAGGATTCTGTGGGGAAGGCGCTCCAGCAGGATGAACAGTGAGAGAAGGCTGTCCTGTCCCCGTTTCAGCTCTTGCTTGGCTCCTTGCTTCCCTGACATTTCTCCCGTGACTCCCTCCTCCCATGTCCTTTCCAAGCCACCATTACATAGTTTGCTTCTAAGAGGAAAGGTTGTAGTGTCAAGTTCTGAGACAAGTGTTTCCTTTGAGTTTCTCTTTTGACCCCTGTTATTTGCATGTCACAGATGAAATGGAGTCTCAGAGAGGTTAGCAGCTCCTCGTATTCAAAAGATCACTCCCTTCAGAATTATGTGAATTTTTAACCTGCTTCCTAAGGATCTTAAAGCATCTAAAGCCCAAACTGACATATCTCTAAATGGTGGTATTTGTGACACTTTGCCAGGAGGTCTCACTTCATACCTTGTGAACAGCTACTTCACCCACCTATGTGTAAGGCTTTCCTCAATGGTGACAGTGATAATTCCACATATCTATTATTAGCAAATATCATCATTTTTCCCAAGAACTACAGAGAGCAGGGAATTATCTGTATATTGCAAAATAAACAAAAGCTGGCATTTGATTATGTTGTGGTTATTGGTGCTCTCATCAGATAGCTAAGAACAAATATGCTGGAGTCACCCTAGCTGTGTGATCTTGGGCACAACTTCAGTCCTCAACTTCCTCATCTGTAAAATGTAGAGTATTACCTACCTGATAGGGTTTTGTAAGATTAAAGAAACTAATATGTAAAAAGTCTAGAACTGTGCCTGGTGTGTGTAAGATTTATGTAAGTAAATGCAGAGAGAAATTATTGTTATTACCATTATTGTTATTATTATTATTATATTACAATAACAAAGGACTCACAGAGAATTTGCCTTTTTGTTCAGGAAAGTTCTCTACTGATCCAGAGTCTGAGGCAGGAGGATCATGGGTTCAAAGCCAGTCTCAGCGATTTAGCAAGGCCCTAAGTAACTCAGTGAGACCCTGTCTCTAAGTAAAATAGAAAAAAGGCTCAGTGGTTAAGCACCCCTGAGTTCAATCCTTGGTACAAAAAAAAAAAAAAGTGAATAAATTTCTTGTGCTCCCTGCATGGCCAAATGGCCAAATTGTCAATGACTCCTTGGACTATACTTTTATATGATTTTCCTCACAAAATATTCCCTAGGCCTCCCAATAGGGAGGCCATTCAGGTCCACTCCAGAACAAGGGTAAGACTGGAGAGTCTCCACCCTCTGTTCTATCCTTCAGCATGAAAATATAATCTAAACTTTCCAGTCTTTGGGGCCTTGTTTTCAGATCTCAAACTGCTCTTCCAAAATAGAACACAGCTCAGAAGATCCTATTCTTCAAGAAACTTTTGTTCTGATCAAAGTGGTTCAGTGATGGCCCTTCAGTCTCCCTAAATCCTGGGCAGAGTAGGAGCTCAACAACTGCTTTTTAGGTCTATAAGAATCACCTTTGGGGGCTAGGGTTGTGGCTCAGCGGTAGAGCGCTCGCCTAGCATGTGGGAGGCCCTGGGTTCCATCCCGAGCACCACATAAAAAAAATAAATTAAAAAAATGTATTGTGTCCAACTATAACTAAATATTTTTAAAAATCATCTTTGGTGTTTTTGTTTTCGTTTTTTTTTTTTTCTCCAAAGTGTTATTCTAAAAGGACTCCCCCCAGGCTCGCATTTTCCAGAAGGAGACCACAAGATCCAGTATACAGTTTATGACAGAGCTGAGAATAAGGGCACCTGCAAATTTCGAGTTAAAGTAAGAGGTAAGAATACTGTTTAGGGGCTCTCCCCACCCCACCCTATAGGAAAGCAAATGGGAAAGAGAAAGAGGCCTTTGAACAAGACTTCTCTGAGTGCCCATGTGGAAGGGAGGCGTGCCAGCTTTGGAGTAGCCTCTGATGAGTCTGGGTGAAGTATCCCATTTTAATGTCTGGATTTCAGTGATGGAATTCAGTGTTGGCAGCTTATTTAAGATTCCACAGATCTGGTGTCACAGGGGTCCACAGCTGGCTGTCCGAGTAGAATATTACTTGATAACTTTTCCATCCCTGTGAGTGGGTAACCAGCTAAAACCTACAAGTTCTTCTATAACCAGGGTGGTTAGGAGCCCCTAGTTTGAGCCACTGGGAAACCATGTTCTTGGTGTTTTAGACCTTTTATCAACCTGAAAAAAAAATGTTTTTAAGGATTATTTTGTGCCTCATGGTTTGGGCAGCTAATAACTAACCATCTTTACCCTTTACTCTTCTGGGCTCAACCTCTTGTAACTCTAGGGGCTGAAATAGTTGATCTCAGTGGTATCAAGGGTATGGATGGTCACCATTCCAAGGCCCACCCACTGAACAAATAGTCATCTTTGTCCCCTCACTCATGCCACAAACTGATATAGAAGCCTCTTTGCAAATCTGGGGCCTCTGAGTCCTCACTGTCCCCGGTTATTGTGTGGAAAGGATCTCAGCACTGAGACCCCTCTGGTTCTGGGTCCTTACAGTCAGACGCTGCGGCAAACTCAATGCCCCAGAGAATGGTTACATGAAGTGCTCCAGTGACGGTGACAATTATGGAGCCACGTGTGAGTTCTCCTGCATCGGTGGCTATGAGCTCCAGGGTAGCCCCGCCCGAGTATGTCAATCCAACCTGGCTTGGTCTGGCACAGAGCCCACCTGTACAGGTATGTGTACAGCCCTCTCTTTGCTCGGCAGCAGAATCTGAAGAAACCTTGGTTCTAGATTCCAGTACAGAGAAAGAAAGTTTCATTTCATATATTTTGTAAAGTGCATCACTGTCCCTTATCATCTGAGTGGGTGAACATAGTCCCTAAGTCCCTGCTCCAACTCACCTTACCTGCCCTCCTCCTTTTGCCTCTGGTGTCCGTTTTATGACTTTTAAGAAAGAAGCCGAGGTGGAAACCCAGGGCCAGTCTTTGGTGATGATATGAATCAGCAAAGTCTGTTCTAGTTACTCTAGTTCCTATCTTCTATAAATGTAGGATCCTGCTTATAAAGTCACTGTGCTGTCACACATAAGCATTGCAGTACCTCCTTTGCAGTAGTGGCTTGAACACCATTAGCACTTGTTTTTCAACCTAGAGGTGGTGCTACAAATATTCTCAGAAACTGGTTGGAAAGAGATACAAACCACTAGGCAATAAACTGGTAACTAGCTATGAGCTTGTGGGACACATCATGCTGAACAAGGTCTTTACTTGACCTAAACCGATTTCAAAATCTTAGTACAGAAACGAAGAGCTTTCTACTGTCATGTATAACTGATTAAAACTAATAAATAACTAATAAAGATAAAAGAAAAAGCAGATATTTTCAAATAAAAAATCTTAGTACAAATCAAATATAAAGAATCTCTACCTTTTATGTTGATTACATGTTGAGATGAAATATTTGGGATATATTGGGTTAAATCAATACATTAAAATTATTTTCATTTATTTCTTTGTACTTTTTCAAGGAGGCTACTAGAAAATTTAAGATTATGCAATACCTTCCATTATATTTCTATTGGCCAGGGCTTTCCTAGACTCAGCCTTTGAGGTATGGAGAGGGGCAAGAACTCTGCATTACTCAGTATGATATCCCAGCGCTGGCATAGAGGTTGGCACATAACAGGCACTCACTGTATGCTGCATGAATGAATGAATATGCAAATGAACAAATACCTCAATGCAAATCTCCAGCTTGAAACACAAGCACCAAGATTGTAAACCATACATGGAATTTCCTCGATTTTTTCATATTATTTCTTTTCTAGGGCCAGACCTGTTTGCTGACCTATGTATTGAGCATCCTTCTTTGATCTTGAACAGCCAATCATCTGCGATTTGTTGTCATTTATTTGCTAAATTGGCAGACCTGTTGTTAATCTTCCTCATCCCATGTCCTCCGTGTTGCTTGTTCTGTGGCTCTCTGTGCCCTACATTCCTTTGTCCTTTCTGCACCAAAGAGGCAGACTTCTGAGGTTCTGAGCCACTCTAAAGCCAGCCTGTCCATTGCCTACTTTTCTCACCCTTCTGCTTCCCCCTGCAGATACTGTGGTGCTTGGCCCATGTGCCTTTGACATTCCCATCTATAATCAGAAGGCTGCCTACTGCAATTACCCAGATCTCTCTGTCTGAGGGTTTTCCTGGCTATGAGGGTGTTATGTGTCCATGCACAAGACTAGCTGCAAGTGGCAAAGAATTAGTCTCCCCACAAAGTGTCCATCAACCAATGATAGAGCAGTTGATGTATAAATTATCCAGTTATTTCATTCCTCCAGTAGGATAACTCTGAAGTATGTGGTGTACTGTCTCCCAGAGTTACCTAGTAGAATTTAGCTCCAGAGTCCACAGCAGTAAGTGGCTTGATAACCCACTCTGTATGGCTTTCTTTCCTTCTCTGACTCATTTTCCAAGGCAGGCAGAATAATGGTCCCCAAAGATGCCCACATCCTAATCTTCTAAACCTGTGAATATATTACCTTACATGGAGAAGGGACATTGCAACATTGCAGGTGTGATTAAGTTAAGGATTTTGAGATGGGGAGAGTACCCTGGGTTATCCAATGGGCCCCAATGTTACCACAGGGGTCCTTATATAAGGCAGACAGAACTGCTAAAATAGTCACTGTGTTATTTTTTTCCTTTTTGTGACTAAAATACCTGACCAGAACAACCGAGGAAGAAACCTTATTTTGAGTTCACGATTTCAGAGATTCAGTCCATGATCAGCCAACTCCATCACTCAAGGCCTGAAGTGAGCTGGAGCATCATGGCAGAAGGGCATGGTACAGAAAGCCAGGAAGCAGAGAGAAAGCAGGAGGAACCAGGGACAAAATATATCATCCTTAAGACATGTCCCCAGTGACCCACTTTCTCCAGCCACACCCCACCACACCCAGTAATCCATTCAAATTATCAATTTATCAAATGGCTTAAATCACCAATTAGGTTACAGCTCTCATAATCTGATCATTTCATCTCCTGTGTTAGCACAGGAGCTTTTGGGGGTCACTCATCAAAACTGTAACTGTTACAAAGAGATGGTGGAAGGAGAGGGCAGAAAGAAGACAGATTTGAAGAAGCTACACTGCTCTTTGGAGATGGAGGAAGAACCCAATAGCCAAGGAGTGAAGGTGGCCTCTAGATCCTGAAAAGGACAAGGAAACAGATTCACCCCCTCCCCATACATCAAAGCCTGCTGATACCTTTATTTTAGCCCAGTGAAACTCATTTTGAATTTCTGATTTCAAGGAACAAATAGAATAGATTTGTGTTTTATTAGGCCACTAAGTTTAAGGCGATTTGTTATAGCAGCAGGAGGAAACTAATACACTTTCCCACTCCTCTACCAGTGCTTCTTTGCACCATCTCCCAAATAAACTACTTATACTCAAATCCTTATCTCAGGGTCTGCTTCTTATATATATGGTTCTGTATCATTACAGGCCATGTCAAGCATAGAGCACACAGGATTATGGCTTACGTGGCTATTTTCTATTTACAGCCATGAATGTCAACGTGGGTGTCAGAACAGCAGCTGCACTTCTGGATCAGTTTTATGAGAAAAGGAGACTCCTTATTGTGTCCACACCCACAGCCCGAAACCTCCTCTACAGGCTACAACTGGGAATGCTACAGGTGAGACTTTGAGGCAGGGTCAAACTGGGGAAGGGAGACCTCTAACAGGAAGGGCCTAGGCAGTTCACTAAAAGCAAAGGCCAGATTCACTGCCTAATCCATTTAGGGTCAGTTTCAGGAACCAGCACTTTAAAGTTACCCATTCATTTCTGGTGCTGAAGCATAACCTGATTAACATTGACTCCCCAGAGCTAACCCAATCGTTTTCTAACTAATGAGGTTTGTCTGTCTTCACTAATAAGCCTAATTGACGTACTGTCCGGGCCCTGGAACAATTGTCTTTGCTGAGCCTGCCCAGGATCTGCTTGAGCTGAAAGCAATCAATCCATCAGTTTGTCTGCTCAAAAGGCTGGCCCAGGAGATGATGGGAGTCCAGGAGCCCTTAGGCTCCCTCCCCAGAGAATTTCAATGACACTCTTGGAGCTCCTCAGAGAGTGTCTCAGAATAGTAGTTCACAAAATGTGATCAGTGGACCAGCAGTATTAGCATCCTCTGGAACTTATTAGAAATGTAAATTCTCAGGCCCCACCCCAGACGTGCTTTATTAGAAGCAGGGTCAAAGCAGGTGTTTTAACAATATACCTTGGTGATTTCTAAGTACTTTAAACTTTGAGGAGCACTTCTCCAGGAACTCTTCCCTTCTTGGCTATGTAAAAGAGAGGTGTAAGCTTGCATTTTCTGAAGATCAAGTCCCTGAGACAAGGGGATACAGTGGGAGATAAGGTGGCTAATAAATGAGGTAACCAGCATCTTGGGCCCTGGTGGAGGGGGGTTGGGGGGGGCTAGAAACTGTAAGGATCATACTAGAAATTCCTTGTTTTGTTTTTTGTTGTTGTTTCTGTTTTGTACCAGGGATTGAACCCAGGGGTGCTTAACCATGAGCCACAGCCCCTTTTATTTTTTTTATAGCTTTATTTTATTTTATGTGGTGCTATGGATCGATCCCAGTGCCTCAGGCATGCTAGGTGAGCGCTCTACATCTGAGTCACAACCCCAGCCCCCCCTTTTATTTTTTTTATTTTTGAAACAGGGTCTTGCTGAGTTGCTTAGGGCCTCGCTAAGTTGCTGAGGCTGGCTTTGAACACACGATCCTCCTGCTTCAGTCTCACAGTGGCTGGGATTACAGGCCTGCAATACCTTGCCTAGCCAAGTTGCTTTATTTTTGTCCTGAAGTTGATTTACAATAAGAATGACCAACCTGGAGCTGGGATTGTAGCTCAGTGGCAGAGCACTTGCCTAGCATGTGTGAGGCACTGTTTTGATCCTCAGCACCACATAAAAATAAATATATAAAATAAAGGTATTGTGAACATCTACACCTAAAAAAAAATGAATGACCAATCTGACTGAACACTAAAGAGACAGTATATGTGCTATGTCATGGACACAGTGGTGCTTCACATTTTTTGAGAATATTTTATTCATTTATTACTGTGATTAGGACTAAGTGTTTAGAATAATCTTGGTTTAATCAAAAGCTACAATTTACCACTCATGGCGCACTAATACAATGAATAATAAATCTTCTTCACTATTCCCATATACTTGACCAACTGCCTCTAAAGAGCTGTATGAAAAATTTTTAAGCTTCCTTTATAAGAGCCAAATTTATACATCTGTATCCCCCAGTCCCTGCCACCTTATCTCCCATTGTATCCCCTTGTCTCAGGGACTTGATCTTCAGAAAATGTAAGCTTACACCTCTTTTTTGTGGGAAATTGGCAAGCAGCCTATATTCCATGGCCAGACATTCCCTGGCCTCTTCTTACTCCATAGAAAGATGAAGAAGCCAAACAACTTGCTTTTCCTCTATATGAGCAAACTAATGGCATGCTGGACCAGATTTGGGCCCTTGCTGGGTTTTGTAATTAAATTTTATTTGACGCAGCCACATTCATTGATTTGTGTTTTGTTTCTGGCTGCTTTTGCACTCTAATGGCAGAGTTGAACACTTAGGCTAGAGGCCATCCAATCTCTGGAAGCCTAAGATATTTACTATCCAGCTCTTTGCAGAAAACATTTGCTGTCATCTGCCTTCACCTATCTCTGTTCCTTCAGATACTCACTAAATTACTAATCAACTTGTTGCAGACCATATTTTGGATCAAGATGTTTTTGTATGTGATCTCTCTTCCCACCAACATACTTAACATTTGCATTTAACCAGAGCCTTTAAGAAAGGTTTGATTGACTTAGGCATTTCAGTTAGAATAATAAAAAAGTCTATTTCTATTTTTGCTAACTTCTCTACCAATTCTGTCACTCCATATATTGTTTTAGTGGAATTTTGGCAAAAATCATTGGGCATTCTAATAATTCAAGACTTGAAATTTTCTTTTGCCATTAGGCAGATTAGACTTATGTTAATTTTTGTCCCTTATTGCCACTGCTGTTCCTGGTGAGACTTCCTGGCACATGGAGGTCTGAGCCACATTCTCAAGGCTCTTGTTAAGGGCCAGCTCAGAGATCTGGAACCTTTCGTCCTTGTTTCCTCCTGGGTTTGGGTTGGGGGGGCATAGAACAGGGGGATGTGAGGGGTGGAAACAAGGACTAAGAAGGGAACTCTGGAAATATTCTTCTCTCCCTGCAAAGTTAGAATCCTCTGGGGTGGTCTTGGACACTTTTTAGGAAATTTGACTCATGTAAGGTCTCACCCTGTCTGGAAATACCATAGACTGCCATTTTGCTTAGGTTTTCAAAATCCCATTGCCAAGCCATTTCTTAATGATGCCACTAGGAAGGTATTTAGATTTTATAGCCATCCGTTTACTCCAGTTTCTCACCGTTTTCAGGATAGTTTGGAGTGGACAGATAAATTTCCCCAAACAGACCATTGCTGTTTCTGTCAGTCTGCAGTTTTGACATGGAGGTCTCTTTCCTTAGCCATACTCACCCCCACCCCATTGGTTCCCCCTTCCCCAGCAAGCACAGTGTGGCCTGGATCTTCGACACATCACCGTGGTGGAGCTGGTGGGCGTGTTCCCAACCCTGATCGGCAGAATAGGAACCAAGATTATGCCTCCCCACCTGGCTCTGCAGCTCAGGTAGGGGAAAATTTGGTCTTTCAATTTGATCCCCTGTGAATGCACTTGTATCTGATTAGGTTCCCTGATTTCTTTCTATTCAGTATTGAGTTCAGGCAAACTTCAACGGTTAATTGCTTTTTATTCGAGGAGTATTATGACCGTGCTAATTGGCATGTTGCTACTTGTCCAAGTAAATTATGCAGTGGGTAATTACCAGTGTTCTTTTCTTTCCCCCTACATCCAAGTGTTTTTGCTGTGTGTGAGTGTGTGTGTGTGTGTGTGTGTGTGTGTGTGTACGTGTGTGTTGGGTTGGCAGGGGAAGAGGATCTGAATAAAAGGACCTAAGCAATCCTTGCTTTATTAGTGAGCAGGCATCCAATTAGTATTTCCAACCTTGACCTCTTTTTTCTCCATGCTTCCGGAGTACTTGTCCATACCTTTTTTTTTTTTTAACAATTATATTTTATTTTGGTCAAACTTATAAAGCTAGAGCCATGGTGTTCAGACTCTGAGTAATAACAGATTAAAGAACAGGATTCAACAGCCTCAAGGCAATTTCAGAATAACCCAAATTTTTACTTGAATCTCCTGACCACTGTGAAATAGATAATTAAACTACAGTAATACTCCTTTAAAGTCCTTCTTTCTTGCCTAGCTTTTTTTTGTCACACACTGCAGGGCAAAGTGCAGATCTCTCTTCTCAGGGTCCCAGGTGGCTCCCTAGCTTTCAGGGTCCCAGATGGCTATATCATCCTGTACATCAACATCCAGAACATATGCTTCCAGGTTTTTGCAAAAGAGGAAGAAGGAGAGTAAGATTAAACTATACTATATTAGTCAGCATTTTGTTACTGTTAGAAAATGCCAGAGGTAATTAACTTATAAAGAGAAAAGATTCATTTAGCTCATGTTTCTGAAGTTTGCAGTCCAAGATCAGGCAACCCCATTGCTTTGGGTCACTGGTGAGGGTGATACATCAAAGAGGGAAGACATGGCAGAGCAAACTGCTATATCAAGAAGCAGAGAGAGACTGAGAGACCAGTTTCTTTATAGTGTATACCCTCAAATAACCTAAGGACCTCACACTGGGCCCCACCTCTAAGAGGGTCTGCCACCTCCCAATAATGCCATCCCAGAAACCAAGCCTTTAATTCATAGGCCTTTGGAAGATGTTCAACATCCAATCCATAGCACACATCCACTCTTCTATGGTTCACCTAGGAAGTATCATACATTGATCCTTCTTCCAGTCTATTGGCCAGGACTGGTCACATGATTGCAATTGAATTTCAAAGGAGGCTGGGAAATGCAGTTTTTCTGTATTCTCAGGAAGAAAATGAAATGGTATTTAGTGAACCCTATCACAGGTATTCAGAGAGGTTCATAGAAATTCTTTGAGAGGCCATACAATAGAAACATAGTCTTAATAAATGATGTTATAAGTAGAGATAGTAGCTTCTTTCTCTAATTTTCCTATTGTACAGCTGCATTTGACCCCTTCTGTGTTTGATTTATACTTCTCTCCAGCCAAAAAGAGTTTGCCCCCTTCTTACCAAGGACAAAAATTCAACCTACTAGGGAAAAAAATAAGAAGAGTTGTGAGTTCTCTTAGACAGTTGGCTGATGACAAAAGAAAGCTGGGTACACTCCTAAACATTTGTATTTTTTCTATGCTACTGCATTTGCATCTAGTACCACCCAGAATGTAACACTTGAGGTCAGTGCCATATTTTTTCCCCAAGTATTTCCTACTCAGTACCTAACACAGTGCCTGGCCCCACATTGGTGCTAAGTAAGTGGAGTAGATGATACCAAATTTCATGGAAATAGCTTACTTATCTCCAGGGGTGATAGTAGTCTTGAAAAGTGTATTTGTAATATTAATACCTTGAGTTGAAGTCTGTAAAAGTCAAGATAGAGGAATATGTTGATATCTAAAAATCTGTAATGAGCATTCTCAAAGTAGAAGAATGAAGCTGTTGCTTATTTAGAATTACATGCTCAAACCATGTTGATGATTTAAAAAAAAAAAACCTGTTGCAAAATTTGCTAACTTGTCTGCTTTGGATAGCAGATATGTATACATCTATATCATATATTATATATATATATATATATATATATATATATATATATATATATATATGATCATATGTATCAGATGTATGTATATATATACATGATCACTTATATATACATGTATATATATTTAAACATATATATGTCTTCATAAAATCTTGATGTGATTGTAAACTCATCTAGCTTGAGGAACAGCAAAATCTGACTTAAGAAACAAAACCTCTATCATTCAGGTTGTATATGTTTGGGTAACTATAGACCTCTGTAGGCAGAGAATGATTTGAATAACCAATAAAGTTGCTTAAATGAATTATGCAGTGGTTCTCAAATTCTAGCCTGCATCAGAATTCCCTGGGGGAAGCTTGTTGAAACACATTGCTGGGTTCTACCTCCATAGTTTTCAGTTTGAGGAGTTTTAGGGTGGGGTCTGAAAATCTGTATTTCCAGCAAGTTCCCAAGGGATCACACTATGAGAACAACTGACCTAGTGTTTTATCAAGGGTGTCGAAGTTTTGAAGCAGAAATTTTGCCAAGTAGCTTTTAAAGAAGAGGATCAGTCTTTATTGTATAGTTAGAACATGGTCCAGGAAAAGTCACTCCAAGACAATCGCTTAGGCCCATCAGCTAAGGGATCCCATGTCAGGCCACTTATCTGACATATAAGTGAGGCACAAACAGGGAAGATGTTGTCTTCTTTTTCCCTATGAATTCCAGTCCAGGGTCTACTGTGGGATGAAGGGAATGATTTAGGTAGAACATGGAACACAGGAGAAAAGAGAAGGTGAAGCAGATTGCCTAGATAATCCAAAAATGCTCTTGTCTGGTTTGAAAGCTATTTTCAAATAGCTGAGACCATGATGAAACTGCTGAAGGGACTCAGCAGAAAGGGGAAGCTGGGTGCCTGTATTACAGGGTTGCCACCTGCCTTCTTTCTGCTCCTCATTTCTTTTTCTTTTTCTTTTTTTTATAGAAGATCATAAAGGGTTCACTTAATAATGAAGTGGAAGTAAAGTTCCAAAGTCTATGGAGCCAACTTGCCTCCAAGAGAGGAAATTACCTGGGGCTTCACACCTGGAGAGATTTTATATTTGGTTTGGGAATCTCTCTTCTCTTGCATTATGGATTTGGTGCCATTACTATAGTTTTCTGCCATGGTTTAGTGCGCCAGCACCCATTTTGCCACAATGGAAAATTTTCCAACATAGATCTGGCCCTCATTTCTTTTAGATCTGGATGTCTGAGCTAATGAATGCTCCTTAGGGTGATTTTTTCCACCAATCCCAAAGATGACAGGGGCAAAGAAAGCCACAATTTTAACCCTCACATTATTCTTTGAGTCCCCAGGTTTGCCTAGAAGATTCTCCAGGAAAAAAAAAAAAAAAAAACTCCTTCCAATCAGATGACAAGCATTTGTGTAACTCAGACATGCTGGCCCCATCATCCCTCTGAGGTGTTGAGTCATTTCTGAGCTTTCATGGCCTCAGTGCTAGTGGTTCCATCCTAGCCTCTTAAGCACTGTAAAACCAAATGCTTCAATGTCTCATGGGTCACCTTTCCACTGGCTCCACATTGTTTGGCCCTTTTCTCCCTCCTAACATTCCTGCCCCTCTATTTTCCTGAAACCGCCCTGTGTTAGGATTTCTCCCCAGAAATTTGGTACACTCCTCTTAAAGATATAGAGCAATTTAGTTCTCCATTCCCACCTTACCTATGCCTACATTGAAGTGTTCAGACTCAATAATGCACTTGGCTAAGACATCTGCTCCCAAGCTCTTCTCTTAGTGCCATAGGACACCTGGTAGAGGCTGAGTAATTTTATCTTTCTTTCATTTCTAGTCCCTAAAAGTGAACTAGCAATTTAGCTTCCCACTGCAATAAAATATAAATTATCCTTTTCTTCCCTGAAACTCCACACACAAAAAAGTGCAGTTTGTATTTTATGTAATGGTTTTTTAAAAACTTAGATCCATTTGTATGAGAAAAAAATGCTTCACTTTAAATCCAGATGGCAGTTTACTTTGTGCCTCACACAATCTCAAGATATCTCAACTGAAAAATACAAAAAACAGAGGAGACAGAGTGGGGTCATTATTTTATTGGACTTAATTTATCTGTTTGTTTGATTTCTCTGGCTTTTCATATCTAAACATGTTGGTATTGATATAAAACATCAATAAGGATGAAATTCTAATGTAGTAGAGTGGAAAAAACATCAGACATGTAAAATCATGTCAAATCCCTGTTTGGAATTACTTGGGGTACAAATTATAATTAACAAAGTCAGAATATGTGGGGTGTAGACCAACATCATTCCTTTCCATTGATGCAGTTCTGAGTTGGCCACTGAACAGGACACAATTATATTTGGAAAGTTATTTCAATTAGGTTTACCTCGTCCAGGGTTTCTCAGCCTTGGCCCTTTGGAGAGTTGGGGGATGGATTTATTTGGCAGAGAGGCGGTGTTGTGCATTGTATGATGTTTAGCAGCATCCTTGACATCTACCCACTAGACAGTAGCATCTTCACTCCCCATTGTGATGACCAAAATGTGTTTAGACATGGCTAAATGCCCCCAGAGGGATAAAAATCACCCCCACTGATAAACACCCATGTAATTCTAGCATATATAGGGTCATGCAAAACCAGTCTTCAAACTCTAATGTCCCAAAAGTCTCTTAGCCTTGTCAAACATGCCTCGTAGCAACTATTGGTGCATAGCCCTATTGCAGGTCTGAAGTCCTCCTGACCATACTCTAAAGCAGAGCTGCTTAACCTTTCATGGCCATATCCATCATCTGGGGGATCTCATTAATAATGCAGATTCTAATTTGGTAGGTTTTGAGTGAGATGTGAGTCTTCTTTTCAAACAAATTCTCATGTGATGCTGCTGGTCCAAGGACCACACTTTGAGTAGCAAAGGTCTAAAGGATGATTCAGGTCCTTCATGGTATCAAGCCTTTCTCAGTATACAGTGTCTACGGTTCTGGTTGGCCCACTATAACCATTGGAAGTTAAGGTTTAATCCAGTTTCTCTTTTCTTTGTTTGCCCCAGGCTGTTGCTACGAATCCCACTCTACTCCTTCAGTATGGTGCTAGTGGATAAGCATGGCATGGACAAGGAACGCTATGTTTCCCTGGTGACACCTGTGGCCCTCTTCAACCTGATTGACACTTTCCCCTTGAGAAAAGAGGAGATGGTCCTGCAAGCGGAAATGGGCCAGACCTGTAACACCTGATGTGATGATGTTCCTTTCTTACTGGTCCCTCTTCTCTTTCTACACAGTGCCGTGCACATGAGAAGGCCTTAAAAATATCCTTGATGTACAGATTTTTATTTGTAATTTTTAAAGTCTATTTTATTATGAGCTTTCTTTCCCTTAAAAATTGGCACAATGCTTTTTTTTTTTACTTCAAAATAGTTCAAAAAACTATATGAACATATATATTTACTCTCTTTATTCCATCATGGCTGGTAAATTTTGTAGAGAAATTAGAAACCACAACCATAAACACGATTTCAATGTGTTATTCAGTGTGACACATCGCTGTCTTCTATTTTGTCCATATGAAACTTTTATTAATAAAATATTTTGGAGCAAATTTATTAAAATTCATTTTGTTTATCAAGCACCAGCCATACTTGCTCAGTATGGCCAATGGTTTTAGTGCTGTGATTCTTTGTGGTATTTTGGGAATAGAAAAATGCAGTCTTCCCAGGAGCTCACCTGAGCTGGGAGACAGCAGAGCTCTCAGGTGGCATAGTAGGCAATTAAAGCAATAAGCCACAAATGAAAGTTAAGCCTTTAATTATGTTCCATTGTTCTATATATAGGTTCACCTATAAATACTTAAATGGAACAATTGTAAAGGTCTTTATAGGTGTCCTATATATAGGATGATGGGAACATAAGAGTCTTAAACTAGAGAAAGCACCAACTCTCCCTGTTCCATTTTTTTCCCATGAAATAGTGCACTGGTGTGTCAAGAGTCAGGTGGAAAATGCAGATTTGGAGCCATCTCACTCCACAAACAAAAGGTTCTGGTGGTCTCATAGACTCTGGATTTGGGCATATAGCTAGGCATGGAAAAATATTGAATACTGAGTATTCCGAGTGGGGAAAAATGTCTTCCAAGTTTCCCTTCCCTCTCCCAACTGCACAAAAAGATCTCAGCAGCGGCACTTGAAGAAAACTTCTGCCCAAGGCCTCAAATAGATAAGACTAGAAATGAAGACACCAGATCCCAGAATGCAAATACAGTCATCCCTCCTTATCTATGGGTTCTGTACCTGTAGATTCAACCAACCTGGGATTGAAAATATTCAGAACAAAAAGATGGCGGCAGTGCTGAACATACACAGACTTCTTTTTCTTGTTGTTCCCCAAACAATGCAGAAAACAACTATTTACATAGCCCTTACCTTATATTAGGTACTATAAGATATCCACAGATGTTTTAACGTATATGAGAAGATGTGTATAGGTTTATAGGCAAATACTATGCCATTTTATATAAGGGACTTGAGTAGCCAGATTTTGATATCCTCAGGGGTTCTAGAACCAATCATCCATGGAGAATGTGGATGAAAGAGCAAGATTGGCCAAGGGGCCCTAAATCCTTGACTATAACTCTGCACAAATAGTTCAATTCACTGGCTGTGCTTCTCTGTGGGAGGGCAACTTTCCCTGTGAGGCCTGCCTCTGCAATTGCTAGTGATGGGGCCTGAAAAAATCACACATTGGTGTTTAACCAGGAGCCGGACTTTTCCTCCATTTTCAGAATATCAGTTTGTCCCATAATCTATTCCTAAACAAACCAAATAACAAAACAAGTGGTGGAAAGGCCAAATTCCAATATCTAAGATTTAAAGCAGGAAGCTCTGCCAGGCATGGTGGTGGATTGTAGGTGCACCTATAATCCCAGTTACTCAGGAGGCTGAAGGAGGAGGATCTTGAGTTCAAAGCCAGCCTCAGCAACAGCGAGGTTGAGTGCCCCTGAGTTCAATCCCCAGTACCAAAATAAATAAATGAATGAATAAATAAAAAGTAGATTTGACACTATTTTGATATTATTCTTTTGAAGATCAGGCAGTGATTTCTCAACTGCAAAAAGATTTATGCTCCATTTACAAATATGATTTTGTTCACCAAGCATACTAGAAACCACTCTGACTTCTGTCTCCTTCAGACATATCAGATAAAGTTCAATGGCATGGCTAGAAGAGGAATGTCAAATGGTGACTAGCTTGACAAGCCAGCCAGAGCCCTTTGCCCCATAGCCTGAGAGTTCCAAGCCTTGAAGATAAGCTGACATTTAAGGAACTGCTCTGACTCCTTCAAACCAGTCTTCCTGATAAACTTAAAATATTACAGTCACTTTACCTAACGAGATACACAGATTACTTGAATATAAATGAATGAATATGCTGTGGTATTTTTTTTAAAAAGATACCCTAAGCCAGGTGCAGTGGCACATGCTTGTAATTCCAGTGGCTTGGGAGGCTGAGACAGGAGGATCGCGAGTTCAAAGCCAGCCTCAGCAACTCAGCGAGGCCCTAAGCAACTCAGTGAGACCCTCTCTCTAAATAAAGTACAAAATAGGGCTGAGGGTGTGGCTCAGTGGTCAAGTGCCCCTGAGTTCAATCCCTGGTACACACACACACACACACACACACACACACGACACCCTATAACAAAACTTGGGAGGCATTTTTATAGTCTTATTAGTAGGTTGTCTTTAGAAAGCTGATTTCTCACTGGAAATCTCTCAGGACTTTTCTATGTAGATTTTGGACCCCATGGGGGGGGGGTCTCCAGTTTGGCTTGGCTTGTTCACACTGATACAGCAGATCTCTCTCTCTCTCTCTCTCTCTCTCTCTCTCTCTCTCTCTCTCTCT